CCATGTATTTAATAAAGCTTATATATCTGCACATGTTCTTTGACCTCTGTGCCCTTGTGAGCTACCCCAGCTCTAGGGGTCTCACTATCCAGCTCCGCTTTCCTCTCTCTGTAGTTTTTATCTTGATCATTGTTTTGAGCCGTGCGGCTAGAATGACATGCCTTTTTTTTTTTTTTTTTAATTTGTGGTCTTTGAAAAGCCTACATAACGCTAGTCAAAATGAGGACAATGCTAAGTTGACAAAAACCGCTCAGAGTTGTCTCATCGGTATCTACACAGGCTCACATTTTCTGCTCCCAACATGGCATGTCTATCATGAATCTCAAAATTATTTTCTTTCTCAAGATTTAAGCAAACCATCTCTGAATTTTACCTAATGAACTTAGGATACTGTAATACCTTCTGGAGAACCGATGAGGCTGTTTGTCGTAGTCTGGTTCATAACATCCACATTTCACGTTCAGTGGCAGGTAAAACCATTAAGCTGTGGGTTTGGTCAAACTAGGTTACTTATCTTTTTAACGGCTTTGTTTTATATTCTTTGCCTTCACAGACTAGACTCGTGGGGAAATAAAGACTTTTTTAGCTACCATCTAAATCTAATCCCAACTTTATAAATCCATACATTTCAAAATGTCCAAATTTTTACATAAAATATTTATCCCTCTTTCATTACTTGTTTAGAACAATAGATCTAAATCTTCAGAACACTCAACAATTACCCTCTCATTATCATGTTTAATCAGGATACCTCATGGTTCAGAATCAAGGGGCTTTGAGTCACCTTTTAAAGAAACCTAGCTAGGGACACTTGGGTGACTTAAGGGGGTTAAGCCTCTGCCTTCGGCTCAGGTCATGATCTCAGGGTCCTGGGATCAAGCCCTGCATCGGGCTCTCTGCTCGACAGGGAGCCTGCATCCCCCTCTCTCTCTGCCTGCCTCTCTGCCTACTTGTGATCTCTCTCTCTGTCAAATAAATAAATAAAATCTTTAAAAAATTTTTGAAAAAAAAAAAACCTCGCTGTATAGCATCTGCTACATTGTCATCTATAGCACAGAATGTAAATATGCCATACTTTGAAAAAATTAGAAATCTTCTAAATCTTCTAAAAACTTCTGCTTACAATATTACAATAAACTCTACCAGATGTCTGTCCTTTTGGAAAATTAATTTAAAATTTTTCTGCCAAATGGTTTTGTGTCACAGCTTGATTTTAGAGAAGTTCTCTCTTTCTTTTTCTTTCTTTCTTTTTTTTTTTTTTTTCTGTATGTCTTCCAACATGTCTCATTTTGTGTCTAAATCACTATCTTTTAGTTGACTGGCTTTACAACTATACCTGTCACTTAGGTGATAGACCACCCATGATTTAACATTAAAAATCAGTTTTGTTCCAACAACATTCTTCTAAAACTGTTCTCTTTTTAGGTGCTTTAAAAAGTGATGGACACACATATGGACTTAAACTGACTGTCCTTCCAGCTCCTGTTTACTTCCCTGCCTTTTTCTTCTCCTATCTTCCTTATCTCATGCTTTGATTACCATAATGATTAAATGCAAATAGTCTGCCCATTCTCTGTATCAAAAATTCTTCAGTATACCTCCTCCTGTCCCCTGGCGGTCAGAAAGTTCATTGTTCTACCTTCTAAGGTAGAACTTGTTACCCTACATCATTCCCGGCATTTCTGGGGCTGCCCTGTCTCATTCCCGGTCTTTCTGTGTTGGGTCCATAATGCACTTGGTTGCCGTTTCTCTAGAGGGTGCTACCGGGATTCTGTAGATCACAGGAGATGGTGGGCCTCTGCGGTGCTAGCACACGTCCGTCTGGGACAGAACTTCAAACTGAGCTGGTTTGGGGATCTGAACCTGCCACACCTTTAATTCTCCCCTCTGCTAGAGTCATGGTTCTCTCAGCCCAAAAATAAAACTCTTCCACTCATGGCCTAAATCCACTATTTTCACGGTGACTTGACTCAGCGTTGCTGGAGGCATTGCATGGTTAGGAGAGAGACGTGTTGTCTGGAACATACTTGGGCTCTGGTCCAGGATAGCTCAATAAATATTCCTGGATGATCACATCAATCACCTAATTACTTATCTCTGGGTAATATATGTAGATGCTATTACTAGAAAATGTCCCTAGAGACACCAGATATCTTTGTGCTGTTAGCTCCTCCCATATACCAGATACCTAGTGACACTGAAGAGTGAGGGGCCGATGTTTCTCTCTACACAAGTATCTGGGTCTGCATATAATGGCTTCCTGAGTCATCAGATCAAACACTGATTAAAACGACTTTATGTATGCTTTTAATTTATTCAGAAACTGTATTATAATTCCTGTAGGTACAAGTAAATGCAAGTTATTTTTTCCAGAGGATGAATGGGATTTACACATAGAATTTAAGGAAGGAGAAAATTAAAATAAATTAACATATAATACATACATATCAATCACCATGTAGTAAATAAACACAGTAGGTAAAAGCCTATTATATCTGATTAGTAAAGGGATGGTTTTGAATGGTTTTGAATTACTTGTTGCATTTTTTTAAATTTCAAAATATGTTATCAGGTTTTTGTTTTTTTTTTTTAACATTTGGGGGTTACTGATAGTCTTTGGTCTCTGTGTGCACTTGACGTATACCAAAATGATGATGTGATATCACCACAAATTAGCTTGTTAGATTTTCTGGTTGTAATTAAATTCATACGAAAGACAATTTAACTATTTTTTTCAGGGTCAGATAAAAATGTAGTGACAGGTGGCAGGTGATCTTGCTACACTGTGATAGGAGAAAGGGTAAAATTTAAATGCAATATGTATTCTAGAGTTAAGAAAGAGATACATTAGACTTATGCCTACAAAACAAGATAAAGTACTAAGGGTTGTATTTTTCCATATTTAGCAATTTTATCATATAAATATAAAGACTCAATTATCTTGAAATTTTGTGCTGGGAATAAAAAAAAAAAAAACATTGCCACTTCATGCATATGGTGTTGTATACTTTTAAATAAATAGCCATTTAGGAAAGAAATGATCCCAATAGAAAAACTCTATGATACACTTCAAACCTGCTCATCCCAGATAAAAATCAATGTGTTCCAAGGATTGAAATTATCCAGTGAGCTTAGGAACCGGGGGTGTCCATTCTGATGCAGATTCTGTAGCATGGTGCTCTCGAATGAACAATCACACCGTTGATGAAAAAACGAAGATGCTTCTCTCTTTGCTTCATCTCAGCTTTGGGGGGAAAGTGAGTCAAACTGGTGATTCTCCAACTTTAATGTGCAAGAATCCTTAGGGGGCGTTGGCAAGATCATTCTGATTCTGAGCTAGGGCCACAGGTGTGTGTCTTGTCAGGTTCTCATGCCAGGCTTTGGAGAGCAGGGAAGGGGAGCAGGTCAGGGCAGGCCGGTGGACCATTCCTCTGTTGGTGCTGGGAGAGGGGCTTCCTACATGCGCGCTTGTACCTGCAGAACTCGACCTGCCATTTGATCCACTTCAACCTTTCTTTAGTATCAGCTCCAAGCAGTCATGGCTGTTAGCGCGTGGCGAGGCTTGGAGCAGTGTCACGCGTCTAGTTTAATGACATACGGTCGTGAGCATGTCTGGTTCCCCCAAGAGCCGCCGGCCCGGGCTCCGGGCTCTGGGCGCAGAACCTGCTGCTGGGGCGCGTGGGCACCCCGTGGAGTTGCACAGAGCCTGCTTGCGGGTGCGGACTGCGCGGGCTACCGCCCACCTTGGAAGTCTCAGGAATTCTACCACTGACCCTGCGCTCTGTAAGTGGAATCGGACGGGCCGAGGGGCTGTGCACGTGCGCAGAGGAGGGGTGCCTGACCCAGAGCCCGCACGCGTGGATGCAGCCCCGTGTGCAGGGGAGCAGCGCACGTCCTCACCCTGCGCTGGGACCCGCCCCCTGCATAGCCGTTTCCCGCCAGTTTTTGCCTCAGGTTTGATTAAAGACCAGACGACCCACCTTCCCCGTCCCAGCCGCATCACTCAGAGTTCCCCAGTCCCAATCAGCTAACTCATCTGACGAGCTCATGTCTGTTAGTGTGGTAACCAAGACCTGGAGTGAAGCCCAAGGTCACACGGAGAATTTTAAGCTGGGCTGCTCGAGTTAATGTCCTTCCCCCTCTCTTAGCCTGTAAAACCCGTGGGTCCTGTGTAACCAGAGATGAGAGAAGACGTACCACACTGATCAAAAGGATTATTTGCAATCCCCACGTCTTTAGCACCATTTCAGAGGCATTTTTTTTTATTCTATAAAATACCAGAGCTGCATATTTTGTCTATCTGTGCCATGGGGTTCATAGAGAGAGGTTTCAGTGCTAAATACTTAGAGTTAATTTTCTATATTTTAGGCTGAAGGCCACTGTTATGTGATGCATTAAAAAAATTGTTAGTGTCCTAACTAAAGGCATTTCCATCTAGAAAAGTGCCCGATTATAGTCTTGGGACCCATAAGTAGTGGACCTGTTTATCTGCGAACATACTGTTCGTGCGTTTTGTTGTTGTCTTTAAATGAGAGAGATAATACAAAATATTTGTTCTTATATTATGTTTGTCTGGAAGGATAGAATTCCCAGATTCACACTTAAGTTTTTTCATAAAGATGGCCAACTATGTTTGAAAAACCAGAAAGCAAGAGAGGATTGTCATGGGTTTTGCATATTATAAGAAACATAATTTGAAAGGACCTTTTAAAATGTGTATGTGTTGGAATTGGAGTGTGTAATAGGAAACGTGGAAGTAGCAAATTTTATTATTTAAGGAAAAGCTTGATGCACTGCAGACTGAATATGAAATATATTGATGAATTAGCTAAACCTGATTTAATGTCACCCGAAGTCTTCTTGGTAGAGTAATAAGAGAATGGCTCAATGTCTTTGTTCATTTCCTTAGGAGGAGGGAAAAAAGCTATTTTGTTCTTCCAAAAATAAGAATGTTGTTTATATTACATATTTCCTAAGCATTTGTCCCTGCATTTCTACAGCTGTGGGTCTCGCCGCGTGCCAAGAACCAGCCCTTCCCAGCAACGGCATCAAAATAGGAGACCGGTACATGGTGAACGACGTCCTCTCCTTCCAGTGTGAACCGGGCTACACCCTGCAGGTATCCTCCTTTTGAGTGTTGGGAGCAGAGAGGGTTAAACCTAGGAGTCCCTGGCCAGCTCCAGCAGCCAGTGCCTGAGATTTGCTCTCCTGGAGATTAATTTAGTTTCTCACACTTCGTTTGTAAATCAAAGTAGTCACATTAAGCCATGCATGCTGGTAATCTTAATTATAATGTGGAAATAGCTTCTAATGAGGATACACTCTTTCAAAGTTGAGCATCTTGTTTTTTGTAATTATTTTGTTTCAAAATGTATGTTCTCCCCGTATGTATGCAGATAAAATTCTAAGGGACAAAGTAGGGACAGGAGTCTCTTTCAAACTGTCACCCTGACAGCCCCTTTGCACACTGTTCTCATGGTCAGTTGGGCAAATCATCATTCCGTATCTGCTCTGTGCCAGGTACTGTGGTGCTCAGATAATAGCTTTTGGTCATTCCCAAGAAATACTGAAGCACCTTTATCATTTTTAATGTTATATAAAAGTTTTCATGCACTTTCATAACCTCATGTGCACCAGCATTCATTATTTCTGTTATTTTTTCTGGTCTAACCACAAATGAGCTTACTCACAAAATAGTTTCTCTCTGTCACTTAGCATAATTCTTACAGGATTCTCCCTGCCAACAATGACTATTAATAATCGAAGCACGCTTATTACCAAGTCAAGTAGGAAAACTTAAGCCTAATTATGTGTCTCCTCTTGGGTTACTTTAGGTAATAGAGTACTTTTGGCTGTCTGCTTATTACCACACTGAAGCTGATCATATTTTAAGGAAAACTATATTAGTTCTACTCTTTAAGGGACTTAAACAAATGAGCCTGAGGCAGCCTCAGAAAAGCATGCAAAGGTGCCTCTGGGAAGGGACTGCGCTGCGCAGAGTGGCCGCACTCCGTGTGCTGCAGGAAACGGCTCGCAGAGGCTTTCAGACAAGACGTAACCGTGTAACAGTGTGAAGAACCCCAAGTCACTTCCCATGGGTTCCGTGGAGAGGGACACCCCCGTATAGACTGAGAGGCCCTTACTATATCCTTTTTTTTTTCTTTTACATCTGGTTTATAACCGAGCACGTGTCCCGCACGTGACTACTTGCTGCACTCCAGGACCTTCACCTTCTCCCTACCCCTCCGTGATGTCGTTTTGCAGCTGCTGTGGGAATCCTTTTACACACGACGCCTTGGCAGCCCTCAGAGGAGGAAACAGAAAGGAGGGTTCTGGAAGGACCTTCGTGAGGTTGGCTAGTTTACGGAGCTGCTGGCACATAGAGGCCTGCAGACACACAGGGGCAGAGCCCAGCCAGGCCTCTCACTCGCTCTGGCTTTCCAATGCAGACCAGCTGCCGGGTCTTCTTTAGGGCCTGGGCCAACCTTTGACTTCACAAGCTTCTGTGTTTGTCCTTCACAGGAGTGAAAAAGGTTCCTGACTTTTTTTTTTTTTTTTTTTTTTTTGAGTTGCTGATAAGCGACAACACGTTTGCTAACACGTTAACATAATCGCAGCATGTGTTATGACATATCCTTTATGAAGGGCCCCGTTCCTTGTCGCGTTCACACACAGACGTGCACCGGAGCCTCCTGGACATGGCACAGAGGTGCTGTCCCCACGACACATAGACGGAAGGCCGGACCTTTGTGCACTTTGGAATTTCCATCTTCTCCAGCCTTTTATAGGATGAAAAACTGAAAACAGAAAATTCTTATAATTTTAACTAGTGAACACATAGAGTCCTATATTGTTTTGGGTCCATGATACACACTTCAGCTGGAATCTCTAATATCAAATGTTTGTGCCAAAATCAGTAACAGGATATGGTCCAGATTGGTAATAAATGACTGTTTTATTGGTAGTCATCGATACGTGTCTTTAAAGGCCTTTGCACTTTACGTTTGCCATAACTCAGGAAGAAATTTATTAAAGATAATTTATGGATCAGAAAATGAGTGACCACAGAGCATGGACCTCGGCAGGCACGGAAGGTCTTCTTTAAGGATAAGCAGCGTCTCCTCTTGTGTAATGACTTTTTGACACATCAGACAGTGTGATGTGTCTCACAAAAACAAGTTTTGTGGCAGATGAACTGTGCAGGAAACGTTTCTGAGTTTAGGGAATCGGTTTGTCGTTGATAACTGCGTTAGTCCAGATTCCTGGGTGGTGCATCCCTGTGTGGCTGGGATCATGTAACATGAGTTTAAAGATTTGTCTTGGGTTGCCTCTGTGCCAGCTGTGGGCGGCAAATGGAAACTCGCGAGATCAGTACCACGGCTCATGAGACCACCGCGTCACAGGGAGGAAAAGAAATCAAGAAGAGCCGTCTGCACCGCGGTGCCCACTTACCGCCTTCTCTTAGTGTGAGAGAGACTGCAGCCCCACACATTCAGAATTTAATCTGTGGCCATGTGGTTTTAAAACAGAAATAATAGGACACACTTTTCCAAAGGTCGAACGTTGAAAACGTCATATATTTACAGGATAAAGAGACTGTGGGTGACGAGGATTAATTTGATTGTGGCCACAATTATTTGGCACTTTGTGAGCCTGTCTGGTAATAAAACGGATGTTAAGCCTCCTTTTTCTCTGATGAAGGAGGAACTGACCCAGTGCTTTGCGGGACCAGAAGGGGTGTGTGAGCTGTGTGTGAACTCTGAGCAGGCAGGGTGACCAGGACGGTGCCTTCTCAGAAGCCGATTATGTATTATTGACCTTCTGCTCTTCAAACTGATACCTAGCATTTTCTAATCAATCACAGCCTCCCAGATCAAAAGCTGTAACTTCTGATGATTAAACAAAGAAAAAAAGCACAAAGATGTGTCTTTTCCAAGCCATCCCATTAAGCATCAGGGAAGGAGCACGCGGCAAACAGACCCTTGAGAGGGATCCTGCAACATTTTGGTGTTAGTGAAAAGAAATACAGTGGTTACGGATTTTTTTTTTCCCCATCTTGATTCCAAATATGTGGTTCATTGACAAACACTAGCGTATTACTACATGTGTAAATTTAAATTACATGTGTAATTTAAAAAGGAAACCAAAGGAAGTACAGATAGCCTCACACTGAGTCATTAAAACTCTGTCTCTGGTGATGTGAGCTTTATTTCCTGTTCTCTCCAACAGGGCCGGTCCCACATTTCCTGCATGCCGGGAACCGTCCGCCGCTGGAACTACCCGTCCCCGCTCTGCATTGGTACGGCCACCCGCCCCGACGCGTCCTCTCTGCACGTGCTCCAGCAGTCACAGGGCTGCCGGCTCCCACAGCTACTGGCCCGGGCTTCACATGACCCACTTCTAATTTCCCTTCAAATGGTCATTACTTCATAATCACATCAAAATGCAGTAGAAGTGTAGCAAAACCTGAGCTTGCGTCCTGTCCCACGGGGGGACTGGCTCGGCTTTCTCATCGTCTTAGGTCCAGCCTACACGGATTAGATGTAAGACAGTGGGCTCACGGCTCGAAACTCAAATCACTTCCTATCAGAGGGCCAGTGGATTAATTAGGAGAAGGAAGGGACACAGCAGGTCTGAAAGTCTGTGTAGGACTTTAGGCCTTAGGAAAATCAAGTTTCCAGGAACGAAATTCAGAAATAAACATAAGTGATCTGAAGTTGGAGGGAGCGTATATTTTTAGGAGAAACAGGGAGATATGTTTGTTAGGATGGGGATCCAGCCCACCTCTTTAGGGAAAAACCTTCCAAACACAGCACAGCAGGAGGAAAATCTCATGCCCTGAGGTTCATTTGATGTTTTGCCTCGAGGACGTAGTCAGAGTGAGTCCCCGGGCAGAGCAGGAGGTTTTCGTTTATCTCCATTATGGGAAGACCTTGAAGCGTAAGGCCCTGTAACCTTGGCCGGTCTCCCAGGTTACCCAGGCCTCAAGCTTCGCCACCAGCCATCAGCCCGTCCATCTGACTGGAAACCCTCACTTACAGCTCAGGTGACCACAACGTTGTGAGGGGCTCCCCGACCTGTGCAACTCAGTCAGCCTTCACTGCACACTTCCTGCGTTCCTCAAGCCCTGCCCCACCTCCTGAAACCCCTTCCTGGGTGACCCCATCATCCGGATGTTGTCTCAGCTTCCATATTATCGACCGAGTGCAGACAGAGCTCCTCCCCCCGCTGGCTTCCCACCCGAATGGTCCCTAGTTGCGATGGTCGCCTGTTAAGTCCTCGACCGTAGGTTCTCACAGCCTTCTAGCTCCCGACGGACCCCTCCTAACTGACCGCCGTCAGGATGCTAACCTCCAGTCCCCAGTTTCGGGGATCCTCCTACTGTATCAGGGGAGGGAGCGTGTGTGGCTGCTCCTGGCCCTCGGTTCTCCCGCTCACCCACGCTCTGCTCAGAATAGCAATGGCTGGCAGCTTGGCCCTGGCACGGCCTGCTCTCCCACTCTCACTTCCCTGAAGTGCCCGAGGCCACGTCCCTCAAGTCCTGGCCTCTGGGGCCGAAGCCCTTCCTGGTGCCCCACCTGCCGCGAGCTCTGTGCTGGCCCCCAGTGAGGGCCCCAGGCAGGAGGAGAAGGCAACAATCTGTCTTTATGGGAAATATGCTATGAAATGCTGCTATTTTGTTCATCACAGTTTTGTTTTTGTTTTTTTTTTTTCCCCCTTGCATTCCTTTGGATGTTTCCAAATTTTGCACCAACCTGCTGTTTGGGGGCCCAGGCACCCTCCTGAAGTGTGCACCTGGGGCAGGTGCCTCGCTGGTCTGACCCTCAACGGGTTCCCAGCCTCAGGTCGGACCACAGCGATGACAGGGTCATTTCGACCCTGCGGATGGCTCTACTTTCTCTCGTGGAGCTGTGAGGTCCTGGAGCTTGGGTTAGTCTCCCTGTTCCGCCCAGGACCTTGAAGACAGAGCCTGGGCCACTCAGCTCTCCGCTTTGAGCACGTGGTAGGCTCTCAGTGCGATTCCAGAATGCCCAGCAGATGACAACGTGGGTCATCATGGCAAGGACCACGGACACCCGGTTCATAGGCTCTTTCTTGCTTCCCACACGTGGACACTGCCTGGGAAGCACTCGGAAACCCCCATCTCTAGAACACTACCTTTGAGCATCTCTGTGTCACATGAGGCATTTCAGGAGAAAGCGGTCAGCTTTCTGGAATAAAGCATATGATTCTAAAGCCCACAGTAGAGCCCGGAAAGTGTCCTCTAAGCTACTCGCACACTGTGCCGGGTCCATTTGCAGAGGAGGGTGAGAGCTTAGGGTCCCTGCGAGCCTCCACGGGGAAGCAAGAGACTGACTAGCTGCTGCCTCTTCCTCTAAAAGCCTGATTTCCCCTGCCTCCCACAGATCCTAAGTATTAGATGTTTTGTTAGTGATCTGCACCTTCATGACCTTGATCGGGAAACAGATGGAGTTATAGACAGAGGACGATCAACCCGATCCCAGCCTTTAACACAGAGCGGCCGCCTTCATGCTGGTCTCACGCAGGAACAGTGCCGTCCCTGTAATGTTCATCATAGTATATTTGCTTACAAGTGAAAGTCCCTACTGACCAATATCTGTTTTCCTGAAAGTGATTTCTGGGTAAAGTAAGTGTCTAGGCTACCCCGTACCCTAAAACATTGAGGATAGAGATTTGAAATCCCAGCTGTGACCTGGAAGGGAGACACAGAGCAATGGGGGCCAAGCTCAGGGCACTGCCTCCTCCCTCCCTGCCTTTTACTTATAGAACTTCCGTCTTCCTGTTTGTTTTTTCAATGAAGAACCTTCCCTAAAGTTTGGGAATTGAGATATTTTTAACTTTGAAATGAAATCAGCTCCCCATGGGTGTTCACTCAAATGGTGTGTCATGGCTGGCACTCTGTATTATGGGAGGATGTTTTACTCAAATAGTTACCTATAGTAGCCAGTTATAATTGATTTTTATCTTTTATTTTACTCTCCTCCTATATTCGCAAATGTCGAAGATACATCAACTTCCGTAACACTGGCTCACCCCTAACTTTTTATAGGCTGTAGAGAGAGGTTTTTCATTGGAAAACTCACAAACAACCCACGAAAATCTCCAAGTCTGATCTGAGAGATTGAAACGCTTTTTGTTTGTTTGTTTGTTTGTTTTTTGTTTAGCTGTTGGCTGCAAATTAATACGAGCTGGGGGATTTTAAGACTAGAAATCCATAGAGAGATAATATTTTTGTTATTAGCTCTTAGAAATTTTAAGTCCTAAGGAAGATAATTCATATCAAAATGTTCCTCTGCAGGTTTTAATATCAAGCCCATGCTCAGAGCTTAAACCAATATTAACCATTTCAATATCACAACGAGCCCCAGAGCAGCCAAGCTGTTTGCCAGACCCTTCCATCCAGCTGGCATTCCCTATACCATGGGGTCTCTCCAGAGGACATGCCCTGTGCCCTGGAGTAAAATTTCCACATATCATCACAAAAACAAAACAAAACAAAACAAAAAAAACCCAAAACCACAAACCCAGGAAATCTGCACAAAAGAAGATAAATAAATCCAGTAGGATGTAAGATCCCCAGCTATTTGATAGTAATCAGTACCTCATCTTTCAGAGACAACTTATGCCTCATTAACTCTCTGCATGGGGTACCTCATTGCAAGAAGGGGTCTGGGATGGAGGGAGTTTGTCCAGCAGGAAGCAGGAGGGCAGTTTACCAGATGGTGGTGGCCCGGTAAGGCCTGGGAAGGAGGCTGAAACTTGCTTGTAGCATTGAACAAATATGCAATAAGACAAGTCCTTTGGTAGAGATTTTACATATCACAAAGGAAAAAAAGAGGGATGCCCGTCCTTTGGGAGCTCTGTCGGTACGCCCACCCAGTGATGTTTGTGTTTTAGGTAAATTAAAATAGGATTACACTCGTGATGACTGGGTACTGGAGGAATTACGTTATGACTGTCCCTCTGAAAAGAGATCTAGCCCATGGCGAGGCCCTCCCTCTGTCTTCATGACGCCCACAGTTGGCCCGTGTGACCCGAGATGTCACTATCGACGAGGACTCCGTGATCCAGCCACGCGGCCCGCTCTTCATGCGACACGGTCCCACTCCTCGATTGAAGCAGTACATAGATGCTTCTGTTTTATAATTCCCAATCTTTTCCTCTTCTTTTTCATAAAAATCGTGTTCAAAATCAAAAGGCCCTCTTTAAAAATGTCACCTTTACTTCATTTTTGTCGTCATGCTACTGTCACTGATCTGGCGTTTTCACGTCCAACTGCCCTGTGGTTGGACGGACGGACTTGCCCTCACTGTGGGATGAGAGCCCTGCGGGGAGGGGTGACAGTGCTGACCCTTCTTAGGAATGCCAGTTGCCCTCAGCGGAACGGACAGACTCACAGACGAAGCACATCCCAGAGCCAATGTTTCCACATTCCTGGTTTTCCCACAGAGAAGACACCCGAGAGGTCATACACAAACAACAAAGTTCACATTCAGAATTTTACTGGAATTATTCACTCATCCCACAAAAGTGCCTTTTTAATTTTTTTTTAAACCTACATCTTTTTTTTTTTTTTAGATTTTATTTTTTATTTGACAGAGAGAGATCACAAGTAGACGGAGAGGCAGGCAGAGAGAGAGAGAGAGAGAGAAGCAGGCACCCTGCTGAGCAGAGAGCCCGATGCGGGACTTGATCCCAGGACCCTGAGATCTTGACCTGAGCTGAAGGCAGCGGCTTAATCCACTGAGCCACCCAGGTGCCCCCTAAACCTACATCTTTAATAACTTATACAGTGTCAAACCCAGATTAGGATTCCCTAGTTTGGGCCATTACCATATTCACCAGACTTGATTTTTTAAGACTAGTTAGATTTTTTTCCCCATATCAAATGTGCCCTTGACAGGTAAAGTTTTTCTACGTTGGTGATTAAAAAGAAGAGAAAGAAGGAAAAAATAAGAGTGCACTGTAGGCTTGGAGGGGAGATTCAGAGGTCTCTAACAGAGGTTCCTTCCAAAATGGAGTTTGCCTGATAAGAATGTTGTTAGAATAGCAATAAAGCCTTTTGATGCGACTTCCTGCAAAGATGTGACAGCATTTGCATTATTACTTTGAAATATCAGAAATGGCCATTTAATAGGTCACAACTGGTCAAGGGTCAGAATTTCCTCTACTTCCACATATATTATTTGACACGTGTGTTACAAACTCGGTTTTTCCTTCTAGCCAAACCTCAGCTACCGTAGACATAAATTATGGGTAACCTAGGTCAGGCTTCATGGAGACTTCGTTCAAGCCCAGGCACAGCCATGAGTGTAGGTTTCCGGGGAAGAAGGTGTTGGAGGGCTAAACTCCAATGCCTAAAAGAACTCCAGCGGTAACTATCCTGCTAAAAAGATTGGTCCTGGAAACCGATGGAGCTGGTCCCATATTCTAGTTGTGTTGTTCAAGCAAATTACTTCATCCGTTCAGGCTCGGTTTCCTAATCTGTAAAAGGGGTAATAGTAACACCAACTGTTTTAGGGTTTTATAAGAATTAAGTCATGCAATGTGTTTACTCAGCCTGGTAGGCAGCACATGGTTACCAGGGAATAAATAGTAGGTAATACTCCCACTCAATACATCGCCACCAGTCACCTGAAAGTCATGGGGATGCAGGTGGAGTTAAATCCCTGTGCTAGAAAGCGATGGCCCCAGCACTAAGCATGCCTGTCCACTTCACAGCAACCTGCGGAGGGACGCTGAGCAGCATGGGGGGCGTGATCTTGAGCCCAGGGTTTCCGGGCGCTTACCCCAACAACCTGGACTGCACGTGGAAAATCGAGCTGCCCGTTGGCTATGGTAAGTGAAAGCATTTTTTTTTTTTTTAATTCCTAAAACTTCAACTTTTTAATTTCTGTCTTGGAAAGAATTCACCTGAATGAAAAATGCACCTTATTCAATTGTTGACGTAACTGTCTTCAATTGAAAGTGGCTTAGAAATTTAAATAAGGCTTTGGTAGAATAACTTCAGGAACAGACAGTTATTAAAAAATCAGTTCAGCCATGCAGCTCTTTTCAGGGCAAATTAAATTAGATGGATGATGATAGAGTAGGCACATGGAGTATAAAATGCAGCATCCCTAATTCAGTTATCCATCTTTTTATTCATAGTACCACCTTCTACAGTCTGTTTCTGGGATGTAGTAATGGTTGTTGTTTCTTTGGTATGATTTTGAAGTCTTTTTCAAGTTATGACACACTTTAGGACTGTTCTATAAATTTTTGTAATTATATATTGCATTGATTTAGGTTCACAAAAATGGCTTTTTATAATATTTACTTAGGAACTTTCAGGTTCTCTACCTTAAATAATGGATAATTTAAATCATTATGAACACTAAAATTTCATTATGGCCTTTTCCAGAAATTCATAGTCTGTAAAATTTTGATTCCCTATCATGCCTTTCTTTGTCTGTGTCATGATTTCCTTCATATTTGAGTTCATTAATTTGGGTTTTCCCCACCTGTGAATTTCTCCCAAGCCCCCACTGGTAGGTGTACCAAATAAGGTCCTCACTGAGTGTCCTAGGAGATGGTGATTGAGAACTCATCTACTAAGTGAAATGTCAGTTGAATGATGAATGAACTTAAACCTAAGTGGAAACCCCTGCCCTAGAAGATCATATGGTTCATTAGGTTTTCAAAGCTTTGACTTAAGAACCTGTACCAGGAGTGGCAGCAGCACCAGGAGTGCAGATGCAGAGGAGTGTCTACTTGCTCAGCAGAGAGCAACTAAGAGGCATTGTGGGCAGGAGGGCTTGGCGGATGTCGATCAGGTGTGCGAGCATGGCCATGCTGTGGACAGATATGGAGTTTTACACAGGGAAATGAGGCAGTGTGGAAGGGGGAACCTCATGGGACGTTCATGTCCATTGAGCTCTTTAAGGGGCCAGCCAGGGAGTGAGTGGGGAGAGGAAGGTGAGCAACCACAAAAGGACTACAGAGGCTCTCTACTTCTTCCAGGATTTTTAGTGTAGTTTTGTTTTTTAATCATCAGCTCCAAGCAGTGGGGAAGTAGTTCTGCCCCATGTTCAATCAACATTAGCTCAGCTTTTCTCACAAGTGCCATCTGTGTCCCTTCCATGGGGATCTGAGATATGGATGTGGTGGATGCAATGGTTGAACCAGGCAGGGGGTTTGGATCGGACACGCCTGTGACCCCCGTATTCCAGCAGCATCTGAAGGCCGTTGAGGGTCATGGGTTTATTAGACAAATGACCTCAGTAGTTAAAAGCAGAGATTCAGAGAAACACAGGCCCACTGCAGCGCTGACTGCTGGGGCGTGGTCTACTGAAACGGGATATGTGCTTTCCTCATCTGAAAAGCCAAAAGAGCCACATAGGGTTATGGCGAAGACGAACTGAAACAATTCAGAGGCGTTCAGCACAGGGCTTGGCACTGTAAACAGCAAAAGCAGAGAAGAAAGGACTCAGCAGGTTTATTATTATTATTGTTATTATTATTCCAAGTATGTCCCACTTTCAAATCTCATGAGGAATATATTATTCATAAGTAGATATAAATATTTCATTATCTTGTTTTTCCAACTTGACCATTCTGTGATGGAGAAGGTTATTGTCTGGCATTTTTCCTCGTGTTGCTTACCCATGAGCCAAGATGAAAGATAATAATTCAGGGGGAAAGTCAGCCAAGTTGTCTTAGGGTCATGGTCTATGAACTCAAGCAAAATATTTATTTGAAGAAATGCCAAAATGAAAGAAAAGATTTATGAGATGTTACAATTAAAACGATTTAAGTCTTTAAATATTTGATATTGCATGCTATTGGGTTTTGAAAGCATCTTGAAGAAAAGGCAAAAAGAAATTTTATGTCTTAAATCCTAAATATGTATAAAATAGTGTCACTATCCCTACCTCTTTAGAATAAATGTAGTTATGCTTCAGAATGCAGTTGAGCCATGAGCAACCTGGGGTTTGGGGTGCTGACCCAGTATAGTCAAAGATTCAAGCATAACTTTTGATTCCAAAACAATTTAATTAATAATAACCTACTGTTGATCAGAAGCCTTATCAATAACATGAATAGGTGATGAACACACGTCATATGTTGTATTTTCATTATGTACTGTATTCTTACAATAAAGTGAGCTAGAGAAAAGAAAATGTTAATAAGAAAATCTTAAGGAAGAGAAAATACATTTATAGTTCTGTGCTGTAAAAAATCTACATTGTTCAAGAATCAACTGTAATATTACAGATTCAATGTCATTGAAGGCCCCGGGTTTGCTTGTGATAAATTTTATCTATAAATATCCTTCTAAACATGAAGTTACAAATGAGGGAGAAGGCGTGTAAGTGGTAGAGGTCCCTCGACACAGTGAATATTTGAGGTTTTTTCATCCCTGCTAAAAAAAACTTTTTGAGGTTTAAAAATTAAAAAAAGAGCAATTAAAAAGAGCATTTTGCTGATGTCGAGAAAACTTTACATCCTAACTTTCAACCCCCCATGACATTTTTGAAACTCTTGAGTCAGTTTATTTTATCCATGTCTGCCATTGCTCCCTTATAGTAACAGGACCCAAAACACCACCCCTAGCCTTGCTCTCAAACACACACATTTGAGCTCCCCATTTTCAGCTGCCTGTGATGTCTTTTCATCTGGGGCACCCAAAGGTGTCACAGATTCCATTCAAATTCAGATTCATCACTTTCTTCTTCTCTTTTCCTCAGTCTGTCCCACGGTGGATTCTCCTATTTCACTCCTTCTCTGTATCTCCAGCACTACTGTTCTCTTCACGGCTTCCCTTTCCCTCAGCCTTATCTTGACCACAGGTTCCCCTATACCCACCCAAGTCATAGGCAGACATCAGATCACTGCCCTGGATATTTTGAGAAAGGAAGTTTGGGTTTGGAACTCAGGAATCTGAAAGTTTAAGTTAAACACTCCAGAAGTTTCTTATCACAGAAACAAACAGCAGCATAGCGAAGATGAGCGTCATGGACCTTAATAATAATTTCTTCCCTCTCTGATCTCCCATATTGTGTCCTATTAGTGGGACAGATAAGGAGATTGGGCAGATATGTTTCTAGAGATGTCACTGCAGATGTTTAACCTGGAAAATTCCTGCTGTTAGGATGATTTTGGTAAGCAAGTTGGAAAGCATTTCCTCCTTCAATGCATAATGTGATGGATACTTTACAATAAAAATGTGGTAGAGCTAATCAGCTCTTCCAAGTGAACATGGGCATTGACACATTGCTGTTGCTACTCACCACCTGCCCCTATTCTAGTTCGCCTGCACGTGTGTTTGTGTGTGTGTGTGTGTGTGTGTGTGTGTGTGCACGTGTGTCTCTGTGGGGGTTGGGATCTCCTAACAGCCCTTTCTCTGTCTGAGGTTTGGGAAACCATTTTAAACAATGTACGTTGTAGTATCTCTGGGAAGTTCATCAAGAAGTGGGAGCGGTGGGGGTATTGCTTACGTAAGGCACAGAGAGAAGACCAGTTATTGTGAATATGTACTTAAACTTGCAATACTAAGTACCAAGGGAAATGATCGCTTAGCCCAGTGGTTCTCAGATTGGGCTGCGTACAGGAATAATTAGCAGGAAGGGGTCCGGTAGTTACAATGAAATTCCTGTGGCGGCCCCCTCCATGCTCTCTCTCAGCACTGCTGGCCAGACAGGGAAAGGGGATCCAGAGTTTTCTTAAAAATAAATTCCATTTCAATATTTTTACAGTTAGTTTCCTCATTTCTTCAAATGCTGGGGATCTGCACATGCATTTCTGGGTTCTTAATTTTCAGGTGTGGTTTTTGGTTGTTCGGGGCATTGGTGACTATTGTACTGGGGAGCCCAGATGCTTCAGCTTCCCTAGCTACCTGAACGACACGCTGATGCAGAACATGGTATCACTGCCTTTCTTGATGTTTTTCAGTCATGGAGGATTTTCCTCAGGGTAGTTGGGGTCTTTCCGTGCAACTGCATTGTGTAGGACTGCCCGAGAGCTTCTCCAGTTCATTAGTAAAGCCGCTACAAGCTCAGAGAAATAACCTTTTGATTATCCCATTCTCTCCCATGCCCAAGGTTAGTCGATAGTTTAAACAGGCAAAAGGAATAGTGGCTTTGCCAATATGTGAAAACCAGCTTTGTCTCCCATTGCTAATTATTCGTTCCAGTGGTAACTATTTCCTGCATCCTGTCTCAGGCAGAGAACTCGGCTCTCCCAGTGATGGGGGGACTTCGAGCCAAGGGATGGACAGCAGGTGTCCTGAGTGCTCATGTCTGGGGGCTCTGAGTTGAGTAGAAAGCTTAGCACTATCAGTCACTGTGCCATGGATTTGCACAAATTACCACAATGGTTTTGAACCTCATTTCCTTACCTTTAAATTAAATATCATTGGGGCGCCTGGGTAGGTCTCTTGGTGAAGCGTCTGCCTTCACCTCAGGTCATGATCTCAGGGTCCTGGGATGGAGCCCTGTGTCTGGCTCCCTGCTCAGCGGGGAGCCTGCTTCTCCCTCTCCCTCTGCCCCTGCTCCTTCTCCCTCCCTCTCGCTCTGTTGCTCTCACTCGTGTGCGCGCTCTCTCTAATGAATAAATACAATATTTAAAAATGATAATAAATCAAAAATAAGCAGAATAAATAAATATCATAAAGCACGATTCTCACAGGGCTCTTCTGAAACAATGTAACGCCTGATGCGAGGAAGGGGCTATTGGGTTGTTGGCTGCTTTTTGCTCTAAGGATTTTTGTGTCATTTTCTTTCCTTTTCGCAGATTTGGGTTGCTGTTTTGTGTTGCTTTGGCACAAGCCTCATCGACACAGAATGTCTGTCTCTATTTTCTCGAATTTTTTAAAGTCACAGTCAGCAGACATGCAACCACGTTTTTGTTTGTTTGTTTTTGTTTTTGTTTTTGTTTTTTTTTAAGATTTTATTTATTTATTTGACAGACAGAGATCACAAGTAGGCAGAGAAGCAGGCAGAGAGAGAGAGGGGGAAGCAGGCTCCCTGCGAGCAGAGAGCCCGATGCGGGACTCGATCCCAGGACCCTAAGATCATGACCTGAGCTGAAGGCAGTGGCCTAACCCACTGAGCCACCCAGGCGCCCCTGTTTGTTTGTTTTTGCTTTATCGTTGCCTTTCATGTTTAAAAACCACCCTCCGGCTCTGCATGTCCCGCTGTCCAAACTGACCATGTCTTTGGCCATCTCGGGCATGTGCAGGGAGGCTGTGAAGGACTCTCCAGAGCGTTCACTCAGCTCTAAACTGCGAGCTGCTTTGCCGGAGTTCATGACGCACCGGAGGTGTTTACTAGAGCACGTTGTATTCACAAGGTCTATCGACTAGAGCACGAGGTTTAACTCAGAAGTCACGGCCACATTAGTGTTTAAAGTTTTGTCAAATCCAAAGTCAAAAACCCTTTGTGCGGGTGACTTTTACTGACACTTGGTTTTCGGTGCGAACGGTGATCAGATGAGCACAGCGTTAACGCGCTATGTCAGTCACCAAATGGACATTCAGGTGGATTCTTGTCACAGTGACACGTTTTTACAGAGATAGTAAGAGGACAGCTAAGTACTGCTTCTGTCAGTCCCTTCGTTCTGGCTTCATGACGCCAAACTCGACACAAGTCACTGAAATTATGATAGCTGAGTAATTCCGTTTTAAACCAGATTAACGCTGGCTCTATTCTGTTCCATTTCCTGATGTGTATTAGCAGGTTTGAAATGTGGCTGGGTACTTTATCCTGCTTAAAATGCTAATTTTCTCCTAAAATTGTAATTGTCATTATTCTATTTCCATGTCAAGTTTAATCCCAAATCAGTAAGGACGACTCTTACTGTTTCCGTCACTTGGAGATTTTGTCCGTCTTTGACGGCTTCGCCCCTGACCAGTTTGCCGCCTTCGGTTTCTTCCCCGACTATGTCATTCCGTGAATTTCAAAATGTATCTCTGGACAAATACATCCGAGGTCTGCGTGTGCATATCTGAAATGAGCCGATTTGAAGCCATTTCCCTGCTCTTTGATTTGATTTGATCCCCAAATTGTGAATGTGTTCTGTGAGTGTCTGGTCTCACGCTAATTCCCCATGGTCGCCGCACTTTGGGACATAGACAGAAATGTCAGTAATTCTGGGGTTGTTTGTGGTTGCTCCCGTGTCCGCGTTATGCCTCATGGTGATGAATGTGATGGGTGCCCCTGAAATTCCAGACCACAGGGCTCAGCAGCCCTGACCTAGGCACAGACTCACTCAGAAAAAGGACAGGTTATTAGTAATAAGCTCTCTTATCAGATCTCTGGGCCCTGCTACAAAAGGAAACCTTGTTTCTAATTCAACAGTGAGTGAGGGAATAAATCCAGTGCGTGTGCAGGTTGCTAAGTTGTCCAGGAGCTCAGCTGCCTGAGTGTGGACGGGGCCTTCAGAGTCCAGAGATCCACTAGTCCTCCCTCCCCTCCTCCCTCTTTAAATTAAGTATCTTCCTCCCCTCCTCCTTCCTCCCTCCTTCCCTCCTCCTCTTCTCCCTCCTTCCCTCTTCCCTTCCTCCCCTCCTTCCCTCCTCCCTCTTCCCCCCCCCCTTCCCCCCACCTTCCCTCCTCCCCTCCTCTCTCCTCCAGTCCTGTCCTTCTCTCCTTCTCTCCTTCCTCCCTCAATCCCCCCCACCCTTTTTTCTGCTTCCAAATTTGACCAACATATTTGCTGAAATTTAGGAAAAAAAATGAACACTTCATTGATGGTTCTTCAACAAAGTGAATTACTTAACATTTTTAAAATATTTACAGACTTGTTTTAAGTTGTAGTATTACCGCCTACTCCTATATTGTATGTAACACTGGGGTGGCCACGACCAGGGCAGACCAGGATCCCTCTTCCCTGATGGCTCAGGTGCAGCTAGTGTCATAGGAATTTAATTACTCATTCTAAAATGATTCTAAGTTTTGATTGACTGGTTGAAGATCTTTCCCTGAGGTCAGGTTTTTCTCCTGCTTCTTGCTTCCTGGTTCCCTTCCTCAAGTTTCCCATGTTCTTTTATGTTTTTAAGTCTATTTTATTTTATTTTATTTTATTTTATCTTATTTTCAGGAATCTCTACACCCAAGGTAAGGCTTGGACTCTTGGCTCTGAGATCAAGAGTCACACACTTTTCCAACTGAGCCAGCCTGAGGTTTCCCACATTCTATTCCTTCCGTCCTTCCTCTCGCTGTCACGGTTGAACAGACTTAACACAAGCAGCCTTCTCCAATCTGAACTGGAATATTTCCGGCATCTTGAGGTTGTTAGCTCTCGCGCAGCCCATTTGCAAACCAGGAGCATGAGCATTTCGCCAGCTGGACTCAGGTGTGAATGTAGCTCTGCGTGTCCGTTGCTGCCCTGGACATAACACCCAGCACCCCAGAGCCTTCGCTTGCTCGCCTGTCAAATCGTGATGGTACTGATAAGGACTTTGCTGGGTAATTGCGAGAAAAGTGTTTGCTTGGTGGTTGGCCTCACATTTACTCCCAGACACAAACAGCCACTGATTATCCCTCAATGCTTCCTCACAAAGTTCTCTCCATCATCGATAGAATCATTCTTCTGGGATCACGATCCGTGTCCTGAGTGCCTGTGTTTCTCTTTCCTACTCTACTTGGACTTTTCTTCCTCCTTTTGCACTGAATGCTGCTCGTGATAACTGTATTCCCCATCAGTATCTAAGTAGAAACGTTTATTATCCTTTTTCTTCTGCGTACACTTACGTGAGGCAACACATGTAAGCATTATCTTCAGTTTTCCAGACCTAGCAAGCATGTGTCAGATATATTAGATGAGAAGTAAAAATAAAGCTTCTCTTAGTGATCAAGGGAGAGAATACACAGAGTAACGCTTTTCTCATGGGTTGGGAGAATAATTGGTAATGGCTATTGGAATTCTCCGTTTAGGCTTTACAAACCTAAATTAGTTGCATGGATTTATGTAAAAACAAATGCCTTTTGAGCCCTCTGTCAACTATTTAAGTGACTTAAAATATTTCAGTCACAGTAGTCAAATAAATTTTCAAAAAATGCCACGAAGTTATAACAAATAACTAAATGATTCTGATTTTGATTTCCTCTAAATCTGACATTCTTCTAAATTATCAAGAGGAATTTCCTCTAAATGCTTCTAAATTATCCTCTAAGATGAATATGATACCAGTGACACTGGTCATTTGGACAGTCCTTTGGTGTGCGACCCGTGCCAGGCTCTTGACTGAAGTGTGTAAATTACAGTGGGATTTTTGGATCGGGTTTCTTGCAAACATCCATAATGTGCTTCGTGTGCATGACACAATTGAAATGATCACTTGTTAAACTAGCAAGTCTCTCGTGTGGCGGGACGACCATCCATTTAAAGGCCACTTGGAAAGCCTAGGGCATTTTCTTAGACCCATTTTGGCTTCTTTCTCGATAAAGTTGTAAATGAGCACACGGATGATTAGACACAGAATTACAACCTTGCGTTTATGGCTGTAATAATGTAACAGAGCTGGACAAAATCATTGCCAGGTGCAAGTGCCAGTCATTATTCTAAGTATTGTACCTGCATGTCTCTGTGATGTACTCCTGGTAATCACACTGCACCAAGCCGCTGACTTTAGGGACGTTAATGACGCGGACGAAGATCACAGCGGCAGTGGGTGGCACAGGCGACACTGAACTGAGGTGTGTTGTGGCAGGAGCTGGGAGCTGTCTGGCACCCAGACTGAGCTGTTCTGCCTCCTGGAGAATTCGTGTGGGGAGACCAATAGAGTTTGAATCACTTTGGATAAGCATTGATCTTACACATTTTGATAGTCACTTCCATTAATTTTGCGTGTTTTTTCCCAGGTGCGCATATTCAGTTTCTGAATTTTTCTACGGAAGCTAATCACGACTACCTGGAAATACAAAACGGCCCCTACCACACGAGCCCCATGATCGGGCAGTTCAGTGGTCCGGACCCCCCCTCCGCCCTGCTCAGTACGACGCACGAAACGCGCATCCACTTCTACAGTGACCACTCCCAGAACCGGCAAGGGTTTAAGCTCGCTTACCAAGGTAAGGGATCCACGACGTGCGGACATGCCTCCTCCCTTGAAATGGTACTGAAATACAGACCTCCGCGTTTGGTGAAACCTGTGTGCGACTGGGCCCAGGGGCTTCCGGCCACGTCACAGAGCCCAGGCTGCCCGTGTCCACACAAACGGAGGCACGGATGAGGAGCACGGCCCGCCCGGCCGGCTGTCACCACAGCCTCACACTCAAGCCTTGCCAGCGGTCACTGCCTCCCCACGGCCGACATCACACTCCTGAGTCACCCACTCAGCATCACACCTCCTCCCACTTGTCACTGTCCTCTGAGCCGCGGGTCCATCGTGTCCCTTCCAGACCAAGGAGCGAAGAGTCCGCTCCCAGTGGCAGTGGGACTGGCAGTGTCCCTCATGCTTGGGACCTTGTCTCAGCTCAAAAGAGTGTCTAAAGGTATTATTGAAGCCGTTTCACATGACGTCAGAGAACCAGTCCAGTGCCTGGATTTCTTCTTTCCTCAAACCACCTAAATATAAGACTCTTAGACGAGTCTGAACCCAGCATTATTGAGCCATTTCTGACATGGGAGAAAGCTCGACATTTTCCTCTTGTACCCAATAATTTAGGAGGCCTTTCTTGAATATTGTTAAGTCAGACGAAGCTGAGAATGTCAATAGAGCTTTTTTTCTTGTTTTTCAAGGTGGTTAAATCCTCGCTTTCTTTAATTATGTAGACTGAGTTTGAAATTAAGGGCTTTACTATTTTCTTACTAAAAGGTGATGGTATTTTATGTTGAAGTTTTAGACATTGTTACTTAAGTCGTTACTTAGATATAAAATATACATTTATATTTCCAAACTTGGGGTCTCTTCAAATACAAAGTCCAGGTAGGAGGCCAAAACGGGGGAATAAAGGCCAGGGAGGAACAGGGCAGGAGGCGTGATAAACCCTCAGTGGGCACAGGGTCTTCATTGCTTCCAGCTCGACCTCCTCCCCTCATCCCTTAGGAAAGTGTCACCTCCTGCTTGGGAGATGCGCATGCACACACACACACACTCAGGTGCACATACACAGGTGTGTGCGTACACAGGAGTGAACAAACACGTGTGTGTACTCACAGGGACACACACAGAAGTGCACACAGAGACACACAGCTGCACACACATACACAGGCATGTGCACACACACAGGTGTGAACACATGTACACACACAGACTCATGCACACACAGGGCCGCACACACACACAGGCATGCAAATGTACACAGGCACACACACAGGTGCACACAGACACACACACACACATACAGAAGCACATACATGGGGCACATACACAGGCATGTGCACACACATGGGTGTGAATAGACACAAGTACACACAGACTCATGCACACACAGGCCACACACACACATAGGCATGCACACGTACACAGGCACACACAGGTGCACACAAAGACACACGCACACACATACAGAAGCACACACACAGGTGGGCCCACACACATCTATTTACATGTAATTTTTAGTGTATCTTTGACTCGTATTTCTTCAGCTTCCCATTTCCGGGAGAGATTTCTTGAGCCTTCGTGGACAGCGGCTTTCTCCGTTTCCATCTCTTCCCACCTTGTCTTTCCTGTGCTTATTCAGCCTTCCAGCCACTGTCGCGCCCCTGCGGCACCCCCATGTGCTCACCCCCATGGGCATGCATCCTGTCCTGTGCTCCTCGGTGGCGTTCCCCGCCTCCCCCACTGCTGGCTCGGTGCCCCCTCCCCTGCTCTGCGGGACTACACATCTCTTTTGGTCCACCAGTGGCTTCCTTCTCCTTTGCTCTTGGACTCACAACTTCCATGCAGGTCTCCCTTGGAGCCCCCTGTTTTCATTGTTCACTTCCCCTGAGTGTCCCCAACACTGCTGGATTCAGAGGCGGCGGCCGCGACGAGCAGTGGATAGATCTCCTGCTAATCTCACCCATTCAAGTTCCACACGCCCTAGAACCAGATGTCTGTCTGTTGCTGCCCCGACCCCCGGCTTCATGCCGGCGTTGGAACCCTGTGTGCAGCACTGAGCACACGGTTCGCTTTTCCGGGTCGGCTCATCTTCCCGTCTTCCCCAGCCCTCTGAGTAAACAGGGCATATTTTAGATGGTTGTTTGGGCTGTAAACCCGGGGCTACTCGTGACTCCTTGTCCCTTCTGCTGCCCCAGATGCTTTGCCATCATCCCTGCCCCAGCTCCGCTCTATCTCTTGGGTCCCGGCAGGTCCCTCTGTCTACATTACACACCTCCTCCTAACCAGCCTCATCTTTCTCCTAGAAAACTGTCAGACGCTTAAAACTCTTCAACACATTGATTCTTCTTACTTCAGAGACTAAGGCATGAACACCCCTGGTATCTACAATTAAATGCCAAGCAACCTGAGACTTAGTAGGGAGACATGTTATTGGAAGGCATTGTTTATGGCCCTGGGGGAAGAGGTCTATTGCAATAGAAAGAACAACGCTCTAACCATAAGATCAGCACAGGTCTTCAGGGTTAGGCAAAAGGGGTCTTCCTCTACAGAGAAGAGGGACAAGCCTATGGGCACTGGGCGTGGGGAAGCCCGAGAGGTCATGGTGGGCGGTGGGCTGGAGAAGGTCTTACCCAGAGGCAGACCTGCTCACAAGAGCATTGGCCGCTGGCTCCAGTGGAGGGTGCCAAGGTAGGGGGACCTGTGGAGGGAGACACATGCCGAGTTAGCATGCGTTTTGTTCTGACCCATCAGCGAGAACAAGCAGCTCAGCTAACCATTTCCCAGACCAAGAATGAGAATTTGGAAGGTATATGCCTCATCAGGTCCTAGGCAAACACAGGTGCTCCCGAGTCTTACCTAGGCTGTAGGGTAGAGGAAGGTCGTGGAATGAAGGCATTTCTGGGAACAGAGAAGGGAGAGAGGGTGTGTGTGTGTGTGTGTGTGTGTGTGTGTGTGTGTGTGTGTGTGTGTCTTGGGAGGCTTCTCTCCCCTTTCCTGGTGAGAAGGCTTCTGCAGGTGTCTGAGAGAGATGTGCGTTTCACTTCAACACATCCTCCCTTTGCCATGTCCCTTCATCTGTTCATGTGGCTGAACTTAAAACTTGAACAATATTTATGATGAATTCATGCCTTTCTTTCCTATTTTTATGTATCTGGTCTCTTGACCCTCTAGCTATTTCTATTGAAGCATAGTCTATTGAAGTATGAACATTGCGTTCATGATCATCATTTTAAACTTGTTTCTTATAAAGTGCCGTCCGTTACTCGGTTGGCATGATCTTGATGTGTGAGTCAACAAGAAAGATGTGCATAATTACAATGTCTTCCATAAACTTCCAATTAAGTGATTTATCTCCATTGATCTCAAGAACTTTTGAAAAGTCTTCTCCATTTTAAATATTTTTAATACTGAATTCAAAATTGAACTTTTCTTTCCTTTTTGGCCTCGAAAAATCAAATACAAATTCCCATGAATTTACGTGAAAGTTTGGGAACTATAGTATAGTTTTGAAACTACATTTTATCTTACATAACGCTAACCTCTACAGTTCAAAAATACTTTTTGTTTTATTTCTTTTGATATTTTCCAGGTAGGGTTATTTAGGCCATATCTACCCACTTTTAAAGCTTTCAATTACTCGAATCCAAAAAGAATGGTCTAAAATAAACACATACACACACACAGAGTCTAAATAGAAATTATCTAGACAAGAGGTCATATGTTGCTGCTGTTGGCTGGCACAATATTATTATATATATTTTCTCTAAAGATTTCATTTATATGAGAGACACAGTGAGAGAGAGCACAAGCAGGGGAGCAGCAGAGGGAGAAACAGGCTTCCTGCTGAGCCAGGAGCCCAATGCAGAGCTCGATCCCAGGACCCTGGGATGATGACCTGATCCGAAGGCAGATGCTAAAAGACTGTGCCACCAGGCGCCCCCAGATATTATTTTTTAAATTTAACTTTTAAATATTTAGAATCAGATTTCATACAATTTGTAAAATATCCATAGATCCACTTTCCTGTATCTTGCAATGTCAGAATCTGCAAACTTTCAGTTCGTGTTCACACAGAGGGACAGCTCCCTCAGGTGTCCTAGTGATGGCCCCCACGGAGGGGAAAGGCATTGATTTCAAAAGTTTCCTTTAGTCCCTGAAAGCTTTGATCGCTGATGCTGCCTCTGTGGCCTTTAAATGTTTTATTTGGTGAATTCTCATCTAGGCCAAACATCTGGTTGCCTGAGTCAATGTTTTATTTACTTGATGCCTGACTCTAAGTATCCACGTCAAAAAATAAATAAATAAACAAATAATTCCTAAGAAAGATATCCTTTTATTGTAGGCAATTAATTTCCTATAAATTAGAGCTGTAAACATAAGTTAAATAAAACGAATGGGAACATGAATTTGAGGTGTTCCAATTTCTTGAAGGGTATCATATCTGGCAGGGATGACAATTTGGGAGTTTATCAGTGTTTCTCATTTTATAAAACTTATAAATGGGCAAAATGACACCGTTCTGACTTGTATGTCACATCAAAATTCCTAGGTCCTACTTGAGATTTATAAGTTAAGCTTATAATTAATACCTCGTACGAAGATGCGTAAGTCATCAGATAAAACTTATTCTCAGCGATGTCTCTGCCATATCCCTTGTTCTGAAACCCTGTCATTTATTTATGGCCGTGGAAAGGTTAAAAATGGTACATTGGATGTAGCTGTCTAAAAGTTAAATGACTTTTACAGAACTTGAGATATGGAAGGTGAGAAGCCGTGTTGAATAAAATTGCGTTCATGTGCCCTATTTCTAAGTCAAAGGCTGAAAACAGAAGGGTAGCATGAATATATTTATCAGTTCTTTAGATTTTGGAAAATATAGCGGACATCAGGAAGACCACGGCACGATTCCACTGGCACTCCCATTGCACACCTGTGATTAGACACACGAGGCCGCATTGCTTGAGATTGATAGATGTAGATAATAGTTATTTTCCCAGACCCAAACAAAGGATTCCCTATGGAAGA